ACCCTGGGATGGCAGAGCAGATAAGGCCCCTGTAATCCTGCCTGATGTATTTCACATGCTGTTATCTGTAACAGCCACTTCCGCGATCAGAGCACGTCTCCTTGTGTGGGCTTTGGCAGTTACACACATGTAAATAACTTCTGTTTTTTTATTATCCATCCATCCATCCATCCATCCATCCATCTTCTCATCACTTTAACTTCCTTAGGTGGAGTTACCATTTTATTGACTTCTTAAAAGAAATTTTTAGTAAAGTTCTGCCCAAGGCTTTTTTTAATCGAAAGCTATTCTTATTTAGGTGATTTTACCTGTCTAGCGTTTTATAGTCATTACTGAAGTCTTTACCTTTTTGGTTCTTTGCTCATATTAAAACTACTTATTCTCTCCATGAATATAGCTGTAGTTGCTGGCATGGTTTTAAGAATCAGCATAATTATTCTCATTGCTTATGGAGGTCAGTCTTATGAGGGTCCTGAAGCCTATTCCACACACACACACACACACACACACACACACACACACAGCCTACCCAGCCTTAACCATAAGTAATCAAACAAAATACACACACACACACACACACACACACACACAGAGCCTACCCAGCCTTAACCATAAGTAATCAAACAAAATACAAGACTTCTGGCATTTTTAGTTTTTATTATTGCATTAACATATTTTAATAAAATTGAGGTTATTGTGGGAACTGAAAAAATCCCCCCACAAGGCAAAAAGGTTTTTATCACATTGTGGGGAATTCTGGTCCCCACAATAATAAGAATTAGACATACACTAACTCACATGCAGTCACACAGTATTTCCAGTTCTGGGGAGACTATTTCCAGTTCTCTTCTTTACCATAGCTTCCAGCTCATTCTTTCTTTGACTCAAATGTGTAGATGTTTTCCGGTAAGTTTAAGTGCCGTGGTTTTACTGGGAGACCAGTAAGGCGTGGTGGTGCCCAGTTCAGCCTCTGTGGCTGCAATGGCGCTGTGAGAGTGAGAGCTGCTGAATGGGACTGTCCCTCTCTCCTGGCCGCACTGCAGAATGGAAGGGAGCTCCTCTCCCACGTGCCATTTGTCAGTGTGCTGGCCTTCCCCCACAAACTCAAAACGGGACCTGCTCTTTTAAAGAAGTTTCTGGTGGGGCTTCTGCAGGACTTCAACCTTTGTGGGGGAGGGAGAGGGTTGATCATACTGGTCTCTCTGATTGGCCGTGCTGTCTGTAAAGCTGTGACATCAGAAAGGGGACTAGCTTCACACAGCTAAAATAACATGTCCTTTTATGGAACAGGATGGACTGTTCCATTTCAAGCGAGCGGGGGGGGGGGGGAGTGCCTCCTGGAATAATGGCACCTCAGAGAGTTGTAGCTCATAATCGGGTCTGTGACGGAAAACTGACTTCAGGTGTTCTGCTGAGAAGTTGGGCATTTAACAATGATGTGTTTCAGAATGATTTAGTCATTATTTCTTTGTGGTTCTTACTTGGAACGGGTGTGTGCATAAAGATCATTTAACTTCAGGGCAGTACTGTGCGTCTGAGTTGTCCTTTCTATTAACTAGCTGAATATTTAGCCTGTTCCAGTACAGCTGGCTCACAGGACATCTTTCAAACGGCCATTTAATTGCTTCGAGTACCTGTAAATGTACCCCCACCCCCTTAAAATATCACTTATTGTTGCTGTGCTCAGTAC